CATTTATTCATATGTCTGTAAGTAGCAAGCACATATTTAGTAAAGAACTTGTTTGATTAATCATTCGAAGAGAACAACACAACCGAGTAGCGTTATGATGAAAAATTTTTCAAGTGGTAGGCAAAAGAAAGAAATTTAATTTTTTGAAAAGAAATGTGTTTATTAAATTAAAAGAAAGATGTTTACTTGAAATAAAGGGCAGCAGGTGTTTAATATAGTATATCTCTTTACTTTCAGTTGAAAACATTAAGGCTGAACTAGTCAATCGTTGCATTTAACAATGCCAACTAACAGTTGTTGAATTTTTTCGCCTAAGTATGTTTGTACCTATGTAAATTTTGCCAAAATCGCGCTACGCCTAATCATGCCATTGATTTGATGGATCGGGCCTTTTTCCTTACATGTACATGGACATACATACATATGTACCTTTCCAAAATATGAGTAGAGTTTGTGGTATGGATGTTTTCTTTTTTGGCTTTTGCTCGTCGTTTCGTTGAACAGCTCTCTGTGAGAGCAGGGATGTCCAGCCCAAAGATCATTTCAAGGTCACCGCTCCATTTAAATCAATTTCACAAAACTGTAGTTCGCCGCAATCCACTATCCACTAAAGTTCGTCGCTGGGCCGCGAGCTTTTCAAATGACAAATTGAATGGTAAATCGCCTAATTTTATATATGTAGACAGACGCAGGGCAAAAAGCTCTCTACGGGTACCACTGGATTAGCACCGCCCTCTTTGATTCACTGATCCAAAATCTGTATTATTAGGTGGGATCTAATACACGAGATTTGGGTTCGGAAAGGCACGTCTTTCATTATCCTCGTTGAACTTTGTTTGCAACAAGTATGTTTCTGCTTTGATGAAAATGAAATTGTGGAACGAGTTTTGTGCAGTTCTTCTACTTTTCTAATGATTAGTTGGCGCTCTTTTTAACACAGATTAGTTAACAATAGAATATCTGATCGTGACTACATTTTGTTCAAATCCATTGACAGATGGAACCTCAGTAGCCAAATATGTATTGACTACCCTTAGAATAGAGTTTTGGGCTAAATGTTCAGAAACGTCCAGAGTCATTGAAATTAAACGCCGTGAATGGAATTAGAAAAGCCTAAGCCTGCGAAAGCAACCTAACGTGATCTAAAGATAGAAACCAGAGGCCTAAGCACAACGAAGTGAGGCTTCTACATACATATAAAAAAAAGAGTTTAGCTTCGCTGTGAACCTATCCTAATCTACCCAAAAGAAGTATAATGAAAAAGAAACTGAAGCCACGTGATACTGATACCGTAAGACGTTTTCATTTTCTGGCTTACTTTGGAAATATGACGCTTAATATCGTTGCTTTTGAAATAAAAAAGAAATATGATTAGGTAAAAAGATATCGAATTATATAAACAGTAGCCCAATTTGTCGCTATACGCTACGGCATAAATCATTTTAATGTAAGTAGCGCTTAATCGCACCCATATGCTTACTTATGTATATACATATGCACATTAGGGCGGTCCTTAAATGTAGGAAGCAAATTTTTGCATCAGATTTCCTAAGCCTTAACCCTAACATCGATGCTGATAGTCGAATATATCACATATAAATTTTGGTCCCAATTGGAGACGATTAAGACCTATCCCACTGCCACTGGGGTCATAGTTCAGACGACACTATGAAGACGTCTTAACCGAACAAAAATTTATAAGTGATACCCTCGACTTTAGTGGAACCGATTTTGGGTATTAAATGAAAAAAAAAATATGCTTAATATTAGATAAAAAAAAAATTAATTTTAATTTTTTGAGTCTCTATAGAGGAATCTGTATTTTGCCGCCTGTGTGACACGCCTTAACCGTTTCCAATCAAGACCAAAATTTTGTATGTGATATCTGTGACCGTGGTATTATCGATTGAGGGGGTGATACTGAAAAAAATCCTTCATTTGATTTTTAGGGACCACCCTAATGTACATACATACAAGCAAGCGGTCTCAAAAACATAAATACTACATATGCCCTGCAGAAAAAAATATCAATTAATTAAAATAACCAACTTCTAGTTAGCTTTTTTGCGGGAGTTCGATAAATAACAAACTTTTAATTAGCTATGACAAAACTAACTTTAAGTTAGTTGTAATGTCGCGCAGAGTCATGCAGACATTATCGAGAGTTTGTTTTCTTTGTTCTATTTAAATATCCTCATACAAAAATTACTTTCAATACACTTCTTTTCTGAACTTCTCAGATTCTTTTTCGTATTCAGGACAAATAAAAGGAAAATCGATATTTTATACTATCAATTTGCAGTTATGTCTCACGGTGTTGGAATATGGGACCACCCACAGTAGAATATATAAACAAATATGAAATGTAATAAAATTAAGTAAATAAATAAAAAAGTTAAAAAAAAAATATATATTTTTTTTTTTTTGTTATTGATATTTTATGTCCAAAAGTAGTTAGCTAAAAGTCAGCTGACATCTAATGCAGACGTAACCAGATCTCACTATTTTGCGGCCGTCGCCCTTCAAAAGTAGTTAGTTACGGCCAAAGGAAATAGTTCATAAATAGTTACCACTAGTCGCCTTACAGCTACAAACTAGTCGCCTTACAGCTACAAACTAGTCCCATTTCCTGCAGGGTTGGTATTACATTAATTTATGCTGTCCATGCGATCAAGTGCAAGCGAAACGTCATATGTTGACACAGCAGCCGTGACCAAAGTAACACCTTATTTAAACAACAAGCCATCCATCCATCCATCCATACATGTGGTACATACATACATACTTACATCCATACATACGTATGTATGTATGTTGGCAACTTACTTTGGCGAGTATTTATTGCCATTTTTGTTCAACTTACCAACCAACCAAAGCATGGTGTCCGTCCGTCTATTTATGCTGCTGGCGTCGACGCGGCGTCATTCAAGGCTGTTGTTGGTTGGCGCCTTGGACGGCTATTAAATTCGTTGTTTAATTAAATGTTGAATTAAGTGTTTTTGCTGCAATTAGATAACAAAATACATGGAGGTGAATGGAGTGAATAGGAATGTGTTAATAATCTTTAGCAGCAATTGTGCAACAATCATTTGCAGTTATGCATAAATGAGAGTGAGAAAAGCTGTAAAATCGAGGGTAATTTTTTGAAATAGTTACAACAATATTTGTTCAAATAATCAATTATTATTGTCCTTTAAAATCAATCAGCACACAGAAATTTTCGATCCCTATCATCTCAAAACAGGCAATGCTTTAGTGAACCTATTCGCGGACAGCTCGAAGATGTGTGGGTGGGTTGAAGAGGCAGGTCTCCAGGAAAACGCAAACCAAAATGATGTTGGGGTTTCAAAATCACAGTAATGCACTGATTCACTTTATGCAGCAAACACATAGTAGGCTTTTGCTTAAATACACAGGACTGATATTGGTCAATGATACGTTGGCAAGGCCGGTCTATCGTGGGACAGTTTTTTCGAGCAAAGACAAATAGACAGCCTGTTTACTAACTTTTTTCCGCTTTTGGCCAGATGTATTGTTTCTGGTAAAATACATTTTAAAATTAAGCTCGCAGCAGCTTCCGATATTGTTCCCAGAGTTCACAGCCTAAAAAGGTCTTTATTTCAAAAGTTTAAGTTAACCTATCAGCTCAAATGTGTGGAAATGTATTCTGAAAGTTAAGATACGTTTTTTTGGCAAAGTAGTAAAAAAGAAAAAGGCATTTTGTCCTGGCGCTGCGGATTATAATCCGTATAATACAGCCTTCCCCTGCTTCTAGACATCTAGTTTCAAAAATGAGTATTGGAAGTATCTCCATTATAAACGGCGTGTTTAAATCACTCTATGCATGGTAAAGAGAAAGCTCCTTATTTTTTCCGCCTTGAAGTCGTCAGGAAATGAATTCACAGACATAATTTCCTAGTATAAAGATAGCTTTCCGGTCGATTCTACTGCAAGTGCACGCGTGCAGAGCTTTTCTGAGCTTTTAAAACATTGTGAATATTTTCCAAACTTTTTATACAGAATAAAAACTCTCTTTGATCGACACTTTATTTAATGGACAGGTGCAAGGTAAAATCTTTCTCTGGGCAACAATGATTCAACGCAGCAATGGGCAGGGAGAGCTTTTACTCTGCTCGCGACTATACAAAATGTATAGAAAGCTTAAAAGAGCTTTGGCCGCGGGTAAGGTGATGCTCATCGCCGATTCAAAGTGATTAAAGGAAAAACCATGCACGCCACACATTTATGGCGGCCGTTATATCTGAGTGGTTAAGGGTTGATACTAACACTGAGTAGAACCTAGTTTCAATCGTAGATTAGTGCAACATAAATTGACGCTCCACCATAAATTGGAGAGGTTACTCGTGCTAACACTCAGCAAAAATATAAGCGCCAAACAATTTTTATATTTATTTTACATGTACCTACATTTTAAATCAGCGTTGTTGGCCTTAGATAGCTTTTGTTTGCGCGCTCAATTTAAAGAGTCACGTCCGAAATTACATATGTACATATATCTCACGGAAGGAATTTTTTAAAGTTTCCTTTAGGTTTTGTGTGGAAGCGCAAGGAATAAAAGCTCTTTTAGTCGTTAGTGATATGAAATCTATAGAGAGCTTTAAAAATCCATCGCTTGCCAAGAAGAATGTATGTAGGCAGCTTAAAACTACAGTTTTTAAAAGCACTCTATAAACACTAACTTGAACTTGCCATTGCATGGAGCTTTGTTAAGCTTTAAAGGACGATATATCCGGCTAAAGAAAGTATATACAAATAAATAAAAAGGTCTGGCTTGGGGTTTAAAGTTTTACGAAATCCTAAGGTATCTGTAGTCAGCCACGATTTTTGTTTGGGAATATGACCAAAAAGCTACACGGTAAAATATCGAAGCACACCACTGCATTTAATTGTGTACCAAATAGTGAACTCAACTGTATAAATCGTGTATAAATAACGACTAAATAGGTAAAATTAAATAATTTATAATTTCAGCTCAATTAAACTAAATATGTCTGATAATATGAGATCCAGCCAACTTTAATACATATTTGTTTTGGTAAGTATTTAATTGTACGTTTCACTTAAAATATTTCATAAACAGACCGCCTACAAACGTTTCGGAATGAAGTCGTTGCGAACGCAACAAATTTTATTTGTAATCATTGTATTTTTAGGAAAGGCGGTAATTATGCAGAAGATACATACATATGTACATAGACAATATAAAATATTTTGATAACATTAATTTGTGTCCTCTTTTCAAGTACTTGACTGTGACGCCCACAGGCGTCGAATGTTATTTCAATGAGGAATACTGTGCTCCAACGTATTGTTTTCTATCGAAGGGACGTGGAAAATCGAAATACCTCAGCACTGGCTGTAACTTTATTCAGCCATTAGCGTCCGCATTGGTAACATTTAACATTTAGGCTGTGTAAAATGAAGCTTATTTATAAACTTGCATATATGTATGTATGTATGTAGATCAGTGTTGAAATTCTACGCAGAACCAAGGAGGGCACCTACACGAATATGAATTTGAAAGTGGAAACGAGTCTATGCAAATTGGGTGACGTAAAAGGTGGAAATGGAATTATCAATAATCTCATGGGTTTGAGTATGAAAAGCTTGAGCCGCTTGAAGTGTCCGTTACAGGTGGGAATAATGCTGCCAACTATATACACATACATAGATATATGCATTTTATATTGAAAATTTATTTGCCTTCCAACAGGGCAACGTTACCATAACAAGAATGCCGCTGATGATTTTTCTTGTGCAGGGCCTGCTTCCCGATGCGGATTATAAATTATTTGCCAAAGTTTTCAGGGGCGTTGAATCAATATTACAATTGAATCTCTCTGTTAAGGTTACTTCAGCCAAGCGTTGAATACAGCCGAATACTAAATCGATGATAGACGTGGCCTCTTTTGTATTTGTCATGCATTTTGCGTATACCCGGATATACATAAATAAATCAATTTATAAAATCTCCAACCGCTCTGTAATGAGTTTTATTTCATATTTCAACAAGTATGAACCAAAAAAATTAAAGTAGAAGAAAATAATAATAAATAATCAGAAGCGCTAAACTGTTTACTTAAGCGCACCGGGTATTATAGATATATTCACATAACGGTTGCTTGTGGCAGTTTAACGGAATGGAGATAGATGTATAGGCATGCTTTTAAATTCACTTCCGAATGAATCCAAATTAAACAAGTTTGGTACCAAACGAAAGAGGACTAAAATAGCTTTAGAACTGAAATATTTAAACGAGGAAAGCCAGCAGGAAGCTAGCTATTAAAAAATATTTAAATAAAAAATGTTTTTTAATTACCATAGAACAAACCTTGGTTCAGGTATATGTATATCTTTTGTATTAAATTATAAGAAAAAAAATATATATATATAAATAAAAGTGGTAGCCTTCGTTCGTTATTTCTAGTTAAAAGCTATTTAAGTCCTCTTTCATTTGGTACCGAATTTGTTTAATTTGGATAAGCGGTTTGTTTACTATTCGGAAAGACTTTTATTTCGAACTTAAAAAATATTTGTAAGGAAAAGAATAACTGCTATTTACGGTCTCTGCATTTAACGGCACTGTTCGCTACCTCAGTAGCACAAATATTTCAGACATGAACGTCTACTGTTACTGTGAACCGGACGAGGAAGCGTCAAACTTCCTCATCTATTTATTTGGCGTAATACTGAACGTATTTCCAATTTTGGGAAAGGACATTGAGGTGTTAGGACGGAGGATCACGTTGTAGGTCGCGTTTTGTATGACCTACAATAACACCAAAAAACCACTGTTTTACTTGATTTATTTATCAATATTTATTAAAACAATTTGTTTCTTGTTACAGTAAATGAAATATTAAATTCCACTATCTTTAGCTTAATACTTTTATCCGCACTTACAACCGAACTCATTAAATATTCAGCTGGTGGCAGAAAAGCGGCACTGATTTGAAGCATTGTCGGCAAATTATTTACTGTGACATTTCCCTGTGAAAGAGATTTATTTAAGTAAAAATATAGCGTATGTAAAACTCTAAACAGTTTAAAGCTTAGAATCCATATCTTAAGAAAACTTCCAAGAAAGATTTTTCGTTATTTCTGTTGCTTAAAAAAGTAAATTTTCTTGAAGAAATAAACAAACGAGCATTTATTTCTTGAGAGCTGCAAACTGATTTAAGAAATATTTATAGAAGAACATTTCTTTTTTTTTGATTTCTTGCGCGCTTTTTATATGAATTTTTCGTTTTTCTTGAAAGCTCGGTTCTAAGCTTAATATTCGAAAATTTTACCGAAAGAGGACAGCGAATGTTACGTATATATTTTTCTCCAAAATTAAGCAGAAAATCCATAAAGTAATTATTTGTTTTTACTTGAGAGAAATTGCAAAAGTTCCGCACAGCACCGAACGATGTGATTTGGTATTTTGTTGCAACTTTCCGATACAGCTCAATTCGTAGCTAAGCAAGTAAAATAAATACAATGAAAACTTTGAATTTTGTTTTTATATCTTTGATAAAATTTCATAACTCACCCAAACCTCATCTATTTGCCGGGCGAAATAGCAACCGATGCTGAGGATCGAGTACTTTATTTTGCCCCGCGAACTCGCAAAACTACAGTAGCTATGACTGCATATATCCGGATTGAAGTAGCTTTTGTGATTGTTGATGGTTACATCAGTAAGCTTAATTATTAAAAAGAAAAAGAATTTTACATATTTGTGCATACATGTATGTATGTATGTATGTACATTAGAGTGGTGCAAAAACAATAAAGTGTGAATTTGAATGCCGCGCACCCCCTACAATTGTTCTGAGCCGAAAAATATACCCCTACTTTTTTATTTTGAAATTAAAAAAATATTTAGAGAGTGCTCACAGCTCATAAAGTTTTCCATGTATTTTATATGGGGAAAACCCACTTTTCGTAGAAATTGTATAAAATTGTTTTCGGTCGGAAAACTGTGGTTCTCTTCAGGAGACTTCCAAAATTAATATCCAATTGTTTATTGAACCCTTTTTTGAATATTAAAGATTTTTTATTGGTCCTCCCATTGCGTTTTCTGTGAGTTTTGGGGGGCCTATAAAATAAAGTTACCATGCAAAAATGGTTAAAGAAACAATTGGGTATTATTACCGGGAATCTCCTGAAGATAAGCAAAGTTCTCCGATCGACAAATATTGATTTTCAAGAATCCTACACTATTTCTACGAAAACTTTGAGCGCTTTGAGCACTCCCTAATTTAATTTTTTTTTTCAAAATAAAAAAAACACCGAACCGAAATGTACTCATACTTACTATGATTCTGAACTGCGAGAACGCATAGCTAATGAATAGTAAAGTCCTCAAGCGCATTTCGATGACCATCCAAAACAAGACTAAAACAATTTTGTATGTTTTTATTTACTTCATAGAATAATTATAATAGTTAGGAAACTACTGAAGTGGAAAATATCGGTTAATTATAGTTACAACAATTATCTAAGTAAATTATTTATTTATGCAGAGCATACAACATCAATTAAATATAACAAAAACAGTTAAATTTTTAGTAGCGATAATATGTCGTTCGAAAGTGAATTTAAAAATACAGCAAATCGACGGCTGAGTGGAAGATCGACCTATCTTAGATTTTGATTGAAAAACGCACTACCTGAACTGAAAATCTGTTGATGAGGGCAGTTTTAGGAAGTATAAACGATATAAAAACTTCACTTAAACATTGTAAATTAAAAACTCTTTGCTAACGATCAGTGGTGGGGAACTGCCAAATGCGATTGTCAAAATGCAAGAAGATATTAATTCTCTGTATCAATGGTGGAGTTCAAATAAACTAAAACTAAACAGGAGAATGAAAAACGTTATGATAATGTCTAGAACGGGAAATGTTGATGACTCTCTCAGACTTGGAATTGATAGTCAAAGATGAAAATATTTAAGAAGTGAAAAGTGTCAAGTACCTCGGAATATAAATAGACAACAAACTGTAGTTTGATGAACCAGTTGAGTATAGTTGAGTCAAAAATATTGCTAAAAAAATTGATCTTATAAAAAGATCGTGTACATTTTTGGGAAGAAGATATATATAGCCGTGGTGTATAGGTCAATAGTAGAACCACAATTTATATACAATTTCCCAACGATGGGAATCACATGTTGGTAAGCTGCAAAAAATGCAAAACCGAGCGATGAGATTTATCCTTAACAAACCGTACGACACACCCACACGATGTACGCTTGTAGCTTTGAATTGGTTAAGCGTGAAGCAACACGTTTTTTTTTTTAATCATGCTATGCAATTTATATACAACATTAACGAAAATCTGCGATATATAAATGAAACCCATAAATATTTACATATAATGCGTATGTTATGCCAAAATATAAACTTAATTTTCGTTTCTGAAAAAAGGTGTTTTGCTATGTTACATTTGTTTCTACAAAATATAATAAATCTAAACTTAAACGATTAGCGGAAAAAAGGTCAAACGACATTTAGAACAAATGATTTTTAACCAATCATGATCTTGTGTTTCGTTTTTCCTCCGCTTCTTCTTGAGCTATAAGTTTATGTTACACGTAGTTTACACTTAGATATAATCAATTTAAGTAATAGGTAGTAATAGGTTTAGATAATAAGTAAGATAAGGCATTGACTCTGTCTTCGGACTCCAAAGTATGGAAAGGAAGAAAATATTTTATAAAGGCCTAAAGTGCTTCAATGAATTATTAGTGGTTACAAAAATTGTGATACTACCTACTCTTTTCAAGAGAGTGATCTATTATAAACAGCGTGGATTGGAAACTAGGCCTTTCCCACACCAATTTGGATCGGACTAGGTGGATCGGAAAGTCGGCCTTTTCGACCACCCAGATTACATTAAAAATCTAAGACAATTAGGCAATAAATGAGCGGATACGAAACTAGGCCTTTTTAACCGCCATGACAGCGCGATTGAAAAATTTCCTGTAGAGCATATTTTAGTTTTTATTAAATTTTAAGATAGTTGAAATCTTTGTTAAAATAAGAGTCTAACAGATTGTGAATCATAAAAAATAAAAAATAAACTATGTATAAACTGTTGCCACCCATGGGTTTTTCCTACCAAAACTGGTAGATTTCTTCGCAGAAGTTTTTTTAGGCGCCTTGATTCACGGCCATGAAAAAAATGATTAAAAACTCAAAAATATGTTTGGTAGGTTTTGGTTGGTTATGGTAGGAGATTTTGGTAGGAAAAAAAATGTGTATGTGGCAACACTGTTAAAGGTCTGAGAGAGATGAGATTTTATAACCCTGAACTCCAGGCATCGAGATTTATGCATAAAAATCATAAGATTGTTATTAAAACAAGAGATTTGTAAAATAAAAGCTAGAGAAAATACCGCCTATCAAGGCAATGGCTTCAAAGAAGACCCGTTTTTTCGCTCTCCTGCAAAATTTGAGTACCGGAAGATAGGCGGTTTTGCAATTGGTTGCAGTTGGCGGTTTTGAAAAAAACATCGACGATATGTATATATCTTTCTTAGGCTGAAAAGAAAACATTTAGGCGGTATGCGTCTCCTGATATTCTGAGGCACCCGAATGTGAACGATAATTATGTATTTATTTATTTTTACCCAGGATGGAATACGACTTGGCGGACCTACACATACATACATACATACATATACGTATACGTGTTTATTAATGTATCATTTTTTACTTCAGGTTTTTAAAATCCAAATTGTTCTCAACTTCCGGTTTCCCATTCTCACTAAATCTACACACATACAAATCACCTAAGTAGAATGTGACACCTGGTAGCGGCAATTGAGTCTAATAATAAAGCCGTAAAATCTAGGCAGCGCCGCTCAGCAAATAATAAT